AAAAAAAGCGATGGGTATTGCAGCAACACATAACGCACCCTGTACAGTGTGCAGCCAAATAAAAGTAACAAAGTGGTAAGATTTCCCCAGCCAGGTGGCGGCGGGTACTGCCAAATAATGCTGGTGGCATCTAAGCAAAGACGATGGGTATTGCAGTGACAAGTGGTGCACCCTGTGCAATGCATGGCCACATGGAAGGAACGAACTGCCAAGGTTTCCCTAGCCATGTGGCGGCGGGTACTGCCACCAACCATAGCACACAGCCACAATAGGCGGCACTCAGGCTTGCTGCACAGAGGTACACGTCCACCGCACCTACACGTCCATCGTGTTCAAGGCGCCCCTGCCTGCTTTCCGTTTCAGCATTGGTAGCACCTGAGGACTCTGCGAATACAGTAACACATGTGGTGAGGGTCGCAGGCAAAATCCCAGAGTGAAGTCAATCCCCGGCCATGATCTTCCCACCCGGCCATGTGCCACAAGGTTGGTGGCCATGTGCCACCCCCCACGGCCCGGAATTTCCCGCCGCAGCAGGCGGTACTGAGGGCATTGCCCTGGCCACAAAGTAGGATAGCGCGCTATGCCTGTGCATCACCGGCGGATTGAATCCGGCCACACACAGGTTTTCAGCCAACAGATCATCCGACACCCCCCTTCCCCCGTGCGGCCCGGCATTTCCCGCCATGGCGGCAGTACTAATGGCATCCCCTTGCCTTGCCTGTGCTGCGGCTTGCCTTGCCTGTGCCGCGGTATGCCTCACCTGGTGGGTCCATGACCCAAGCGTGGGGCGGCAGGCGTTGGAGACGGCGGATGGTAACAGGAGGGCAACAAAATATGTGTGCAATCACAACCAACGTCCGCTGTATGTGGATTCTGGCTGAGCCACGCTGGCAATCAACCCGATCCCCAGATTTGGAAATCAGTACTTATTGCCTAGGCTCTGCTGTTATCCGCTGATTCGGTACACACGTCCGCTGTCATCCACTAGATTAGCGGATGGGGTACGTGGCTTCCGGTCCGTAAGAGAATGTCCGTTAACACCCAAGCGGAATCCGCAGAGTCCGCTGATTGGGGCCAGCCGTCCGCTGCCATCCGTGCCACGTCAGCAACAGAGAGGGCGTGGTCCGCTGAATTAACGGATATTAGTGGACGGCAGCCCCCATCCACTATTAAAGGATCCGGGTGGCCACCTCTAGTGTGGTTATGGTACTGTGCGCTGCTCTCCCTGCACTGGAGTTTCCACATCAGCATAGTGCAACATGGACAATAGTTTCAACCACATATGGTCAGGAGTCATCACCCTAGAGATGAACAGTTTCTCATTCTTTTCCAATAAAATCACCCCCTTCCCCCAAAACCCCAACCCCCACTTTATTCTAGCGCCAATCCATATGCCAAAGTGAGGCTGACTCAGCTACTCAAGGGTCCTAACCTCCTCCGATGTCGGGCAATTTCTGTGTCGCGGTGAAGGTCGACGTCGGAGGCCGAAGGCCTTGGCGTTTGCGGGGAATGCTGGTTCTGGTCCACGCCGAAAACGGCGCCAACAACACCCCTTCCCCCTCTGCGCATGCAACACCTGCCGCCCTACCCACATCACACCCACACCACACCACAACACCCTGCGGCGTCGACAGAGATTGATCCTTTTCTCAGGAATCAAGCTCCTTTTCAAACAGCCCCAACAGCTTCTAAGGTGGCTGGCCAAAAATTGGGAATTTCAATGCCAATGCCATGCGATGCTGGCAGTCCTGAGGGCTGCCAATTGGGACATTTTGTGTCTGACAGCTGATTGACCACTTGAGAGAGGCTCCGGAGCAAGTCAATGCTATCCAGGCAAAACAAGCGCTTGTGTTCCGTTGACCACCGGCGGTTTGGTTCTCTTCACTTCTTCTGCTCATCCTGTGGCAATTGTGCAATATTTTAGTAGCACAAGTCCGAGACCCTCTCCCCTTATTGTCGAAATAACGCTGAGCGTACCAAATCGGACATATTGCAATCCCTAACCACGTGGCATGACCGTTGCACACCCGCGGAGGTCCAGCCTCGTGCCTACTGTAGGATATTTCATACTTCCGCTTTTGCACCCATCTTTGAAAACCTAAAGGTTTTTGAAAGAATGTGGAGGTGCCAGGAAGTAGCGCTCTGGCTGCTCCAAACATGGCGGTAACAACAAAAGTAGTGGACGGGACAAAACCATTTTTGCGACTCCCTGACCTGTGTTGTTCTACCTGTGGCTGCAGGCAGTATTACATGTTAAACCGAGAGCGACAATGCCCAATCATGACAGCTGCAAAAGGCGACGAGGAGTAGGGAGGTAAGCGGGGTGCCTGCACGAAAGAAGAGTGGAAAAAATTGGTCTTTTCCAGAGACGCCTTTTGTACTTGGGAAATGAGGTTAACTGCCCTGTTAATGGGTTTCTGCCAAGGGAGACGACGGGTGGGCTGCGCCAGCGTCTTGAATGGCGCAGTTTGAACCTTAGGCTTACTCAGACCCCGTCCCTTGGGACTTTTGGCCACGCTATTACCGTGGGTCAGTCAAAGTACGAAAATACGAGGCGCCGCCAGCCTTGGCGCCCTCGGGTTGGGCGGGTTTTGGCGGGGCTGAGCGGGGGCGGGTATTTAAGCTCGGTTCCCCTCCTTATCTTGTTCGCACCCAGCCCTCCCGCCCTAGACAGTGGTGTTCGGTTGAATTGTGGGATGGAGAGGCAGTGAAGGGAGTGAAGTACGGGATTAGAGAGCTAATTTATGGGATTAACTATCTTGTTAATGGGTTTCCGCCCAGGGCGACGAGGGGCGGGGGCGCTGGCTCCCGTTGGACCAGTGCTGCTTAAGTATAGTTGTTCTGGCGGCCCCCGGGGTCTCTGTCCCCCTGTACCTTGGGTCAGTGGCCAGTTCGTCGCGTTCAAGCAGGGCCAGAGGTTTTTGGCGCCCTTGGGAGTGACGGGCTTTGGCAGGCGCGAGCGGGGAAGACTATTCAGGCTCACCACTCTATCTTGTTTCGCTTCCCGCCCGGCCCTCCCTATATGGGTGCTGTTCGGTTGTGTTGGGGCAAGTGTGGGAGTTAAGTACGAGGGAACGAGGAGTGGTGGGACTGGCTCAGGGATGAGTCTTGTATGGGACTGGCTGAACTACTAGCGAAGCGACTGGGCACACAAGTTGTGGGTACCTCGGGTTGTATTGGGACAAACACTGTTGTCTTTGTAACGTATTGGTCCAGTGTGTATGTGGACCTGGGCGGGACAAGGAGCCCGGCTCAGCAGAAATGGGATGAGTCATTCGCTGAGTGAGATAAGTACTAACGAAGCGAAGGGCAAACTTGACGGATGGGAACATCGGGTACAGTACATTGATGGTTGTGAAGTTGTAAGTGTTTTGTCGTTAGGGAGTACATGACGAGGTGGGCTCAGGAGACCGGTAAGGCAGAAATGGCCTCTCCGGGCAGCAGTGCTTAGAGGACGCGCTGCCCATTGGAGTACAAACGGCAAGTAGTGGATTGAATCCAAATGAAAGTTCCAGGAGCTCAGAGGCGAAATGGAACATGGTGCACGATTGATGGAGGAATACCATAACATTGTATAGATGACTGGGACTTCGTAACATTGGGGTGATATCACATGCGCTGAGATGTGACACTATGTGAGGTGACTTTTGCATATGTGATCTTCATGATATTCGAGGGAATGGAGACTCGCGCCCACCCCCACCCCTCCCTTCTGGGGCGCCATCTGGCATACCCCTGCGCTCTGCAACGCCGACCATGTTCGATGACGGGGGGCAGGGGCCGGGGAGGGCGCAGCGCTATCAAGCCCTGCTGCGCTATTTAACAACGCTACTATATTCTCGGTGATCTACGGTACACTGCAGGCATACCAATATAACAGGCGACTCGTCTTGCGAGGTGCTTCCCATCAAATCGATTTCCGAACAACCCGAGCCTCTTGCGCCCTTGGGGACTCCTGAGAGAATAAGGGGATAAAAGCGATTACCCTTGTTACCTGGACAGGCACTTGCATGCCAAATGTGGAATGTGGGTTGATATGTGCTGGATGCACTAGCCTCTAGCCAATGGTAAGGGCCCGTCACGCTACATGGAGTTTGTTTGTTTTCGTTGCACATCCACGCAATGGGCCTTCAGGCAATCCATGCTGTGTCCAATCAAGCGCATGCACATGCAGACCTAGGCCCCGCTCCCTTGCATTTAATGTGTTTACACGATTCCCTGCAATCGATAGCATCACATGTCTATTTCAAGAGGAACGCAAGCCGCGTTGCTTACCAGAGGGCGTGCAGGTGCTTGACCCATAGATTGTATGCCATTCATTTGCAGGAACACAATGCCCGAAAAATTACTCTCACCACGCAAAGTCACAGCCGCCATGTGCCAAACCTTGCGCACCACTGGCATGCTCATTTGCATGTGAGCATGCAGGTTAACGGCAGAAAACAGAGTTCATGTCCAGTCGTTCCAAGAGTTCACTTGTTCCAACCACGGATTTCACACCCTTCTGGGGGCCAGCAGCATCCCTGCAAGCAACAGGATTCAGTGCTGTGCTGCTAATTCACAGGGCGTTCCCCAGCCGCTAGAACCCTGTGCTACACTCATGGCAGATGAAACCCCAGCACAGGCTCTCCAATTTCGATTGATGATTCACAAGCCGCACCTCCTTCCCCCCCTCAAATTTTGCGAGGAGAGCGGCCAAAAAAATGGGGACAAAATGTTTCAACTAAAACCTGTCGTTGCACAAGTGCCAACAATGTCCAAAGGGCATCAGTTCCTGCAGGAAGGCCCTCCCCACTACACCCAACACCTACACGATTAGGATCGCCTACGAGGACTCAAGGGCCACAGCAGGTCGCTTGTGTCTGCTGCTTTTGCTCTCCAGTCACACACATGCCCTGGTCATCAGGTCGCTCCCCCAAATTCTGGTCTGTGCGGGAGGCTCTGCCCAAGACCCAAGGGCCAGTCCTGACTAAAGTTCCTTGGCCACTAAACCCACCAGTTCAAATTAAGTTCGGAAATTGGTACTGCAAATCATCAGGCGCAGAGGCATCTGACTTCTCCCTGCCTTCCAACAGTCCAGAATGTATGTCCTCACACTCCTCCTGCTCCTCTTCAATTGGATGCTGCAACACAAATGCTGCCTGGACGTCTATTGAAACAGGCACTTCTTGTGCTGCAAAATCTGCCGCCCCAGAACTTGCCTTTGCAGCTCTGTTTGCGCCCAAGCCATGGCCAGCTGCACTTCCCAGCTGCTTCGTTGCCTTGCCCGCTTGGTGGGTGCCCTTTGAGCTTGCATTCTTGCTCCCATTTGATGTGCCACTGAAATCCACAAGTAAATCCTTCCCAGTACTCTCGCTGCCTGTCACTGTGATAGGGCATGGCCAGCACTGGCTGCTCAGGTCAGCGGACAAAGGAACAGCAGAGGCTGGTCCACCTACACGTGCAGGGTATCTGTCCTTGAGTGCGGGGCGTTGCCACGCCGGCTCTACTGCTGAGTCGCACTGCCAAGATATGGCGAATTCTTCGTCAATCCCCCTTGGGGCAACAGGGTTGTGTTCCTCCGCAACAGACACAGACACAACGCAATGCAGTGGTGCAACGAATGCTTGGTTCAGATGAACGGCTCCATTCCCAGACTGCACATTCTGTTGGGAATCGTAACTGGGGTTGAGGAACATCTTCTCAGTGTGCGTCATGGCGCCTGAGGGTGTCAGGTCGCTTGCTGGGCTACCCTCACTGGAGCCGCCAGCATTTGAGGGATCTGTTAAAGAGATTCCCACCTGCTCTGCAATTACGCCCAGTATGTCGCCAGACGTCAACCTGCCCAGCCCCGCTGCAATCCTCATGTTCCTGCTCCGCAACTCACGGACGCTGGAAAACTGGTGGCTGTCGGCTTGCTTCTTCAGCGCGGCCAGCACTCTTGACACGAAGTTGAAGTCAGGACGGTTGCGTGGATCGGGAGAGATGCACACCACACACAGCATCGCATAAGGCATTGGACATGTGATGGGGAATTTGGGAAACAGGGGGTGGTACCGCAGTCCAGAGTTGTCAGCAGCATAGTAGCACTTCTTGGAGTGGTACAGCTCCCACAAAAATACCCCAAAGGAGAACACGTCCGCCTTCTTGGACATTTTCCCATCCTGGCAGACTTCTGGTGCCATGTAAAATGGGGTCCCGGCTCGCTGATTCGATATGTGGCTCTGCAGCAGGCCCATCTTGATGCTCAGCCCGAAGTCTGCAATCTTGGCAACGCCCAGCGCATCAGGCCCATCACCTGCTTCCTTCTTCAACAGTATGTTCTTCGAGCTCAGGTCGCCATGCACGATGTTGTGTTGCGTGTGGAGATGGTTCAGCCCTGATGCCACCCCTTGTCCGATTTCCAACAAGGCAGGCAGCTTTGGAAGGCCATCCCTGCTAAGCAGACGCCTGTCATCGAGGCACTCCCGCAGGCTGCCACCATCGCAGAACTCCTGCACGATGTACAGCTTCCAGTCCACCATTACCTGTGTGTTGTTGGTCGCGGGGTTGGTTTTGCTGGGCTGTTTAGAGGCTATGAAGTCGGTGGTGAGTGAAGAAGCTTCCAGGCGTTTGAAGTTGTATGCGTAAGTCTGCACTATGTTCTTGTGCGCCACACTGGAGCTGATGGCCGCCTCAAACACTGCACGCTGCCTCTGCCTGCTTGCGGAATCCACAACATCCTGGAAGACCACCGTCTTGATGGCCACAGTTATCCCCTTCCAAGTCCCTTTGTAAACCACGCCATTGCCGCCTGCAGCGATCTGGCTCTCAATCTTGGCACATGAATCCTCAATCCCTGCAGACTGTTCCGATATCGCCACAATCAGAGATTCCTTTGTCAGCTCAGGCTTGCTCCCCGCCTGCTTGCCTTCCACGTTCTTGACGATTCCACGCGTATTGCCACCCCGAGGAGGCTTCCCAGGCGGGGGCACCGGGCTGCCTTCGTCCTTGGACGTCGTGCTGCGCATCCCCAGGTCTTTGTATTCCTTCTTCCAGGGCAGTCTGGGCAACCTGCTCCAGAACACGTAAATCGCCGCCATGCCGATGACAACCAAGCCCCCCAGCACCACCAGGACGATCCCCACGGTGCTGGTCACCTGCTTCGTGATCTCGGATTTCTTGTTCTGCTCGTCGTCCTCGTAGTCAGAGGATGTCGGGTAATAGTCCGAGGTGTTGGTCTCGTCGTCGATCGACGACGTCCCTTCGTAGTAGTACGCGTTGGCTTCCGTCGTGGCCTCGGGATCCGTCCTGTCCGTGTTCTCAAACATGACGCACCTGCCGATCGCGACAGACCACAGCCCAGTAAGCGGGGCACGCAAACCCGAGCGCAGCAGAGGCGAAGCGGTGCGAAAGGCCAAGATGCTGCGAGCGCGCAGACTGCAACGCCAGCTCACGAAGCCAAGAGGCGGAGCGGACCAGGAAAGGGCACGAACGGCCAACGGCACGCTGGTGCGACACAATCATGTCACGTGGCCGAACGGATGGCCTGGCCGCGACGGGACACAGCTGTTTGGGGTCTATCTGCAACTTCGTTGCCCCCAACTCGTTCCCAAACCGCCTCCACGGGCACCGCAACCCAGCGATGAACAGGCCAGCGACCCATCAACGCCAACGCGGGGCAACGTCGCGGCCCATCAGCCCATGTCTTCCAGCCCCCCCGGCCGCGGCCTTTCGGACGCTTTCGCTCTGACAGCGCAGTGAATAATGCGTCAAGCCGGAGTCGCCATCGGACGACAAATCCGCCAGCGAATCTCAGCCAACGGCTCGCCTATATCTCGGCTGCCCCCGTTATGGATTGGTATAGCGCCGCCACTTCTGCTGTACTGCCCGCTTTCCTGCAAGCCCTCCCGCCCGACAGTACACGGGGGGCTCCTGACGCGCCCCAATCCCACCGCAAATCTCCCCGACGGCGGAGCGGGCGCTCTCCCCGGCCACCCCACGCACCCTCCCCCCCCCGGCGCCCAGCGCCCACCTCGGCACCGCCATGTGCTCCACCGCGAACTCGCTGCAAGTCATCACCGTGTCCTCCATGCACATGCCCCAGCCCATGAAGCGCCTGAACTGGATGGTCTTCTCGTCGGGGCTCTGCACGTCGGACAGGCCCACGAAGTCCCCCAGGGACCTCGTCACGTTGGTGTCCCTCTGGATCGTGTTGCGGTGGTACAAAAGAAGGGTCCCAAAGTCGCGCACAAACTCGCAGGAGTGCACCATCATGGCGTTGCGCATCACGAAGCGGCAGCCGGGCATCCGGCGGTCGTAATTCAGCATGCTGCGGTCCACGTCCGCCAAGGCGTTTGTGGCGTTGGCGGTATCGGTGAGGCACGTTGAGGGCGAGCAGCGGGAGCCGTTCACCACCCCCTCGTCGAACAGCTCCAGGCTCAGGGCCCTGTTCTCGATGCTGACGCCGTCGAAGCGCACCTGGGACTTCACGTCGAGGAATCCCTTCAGCAAATCGTCCCTGAACACCATCCAGGACTCCCTGCCCTGCGACAGCGGCGACAGCGTGAGCGGCCTGCGGACGGGAATGGGTTCCCCCTTGGCGATCGCCTCCAGCAGGCACTTGGTCACTGTGAAGTTGTGCTCCAGGGTGACGTCCAGCGGCGCGGTGTTGATCTGCCGCGCGCCCGTGAGCCTGGCCACCCCCCTGGTGCTATTGGCCCTCTCCAGCTCCGTTGGGTCCGGCAGCGGCGTGTTCTCCACTCTCACCACCACGTCCCTCAACACCGCCCTTCCCAGCGCCACGAACTCGATGACCACCTTCTCCGGCCCAGACACGGCCCGCACATCCCCAGTCCCATTCCCCGCCCCCCTGGCCACCTCCAGGTCGGCCAGCAATCTCCCAAACAGCTCGCCGCCCACGTAGAAGTCCACGCGCTCGTAGACCAGCGACCCGCCCGCCCCCACATCGAACATCATGCTCTCCAGCCTCGACCCATCCCCGACCTCCTTGAACGTCAAATCAAAGGTCATGTCGCACCAGGTCACGCTGGCATTCACGCCAACCACGGCGAACCGCTCCACCGCCGAGAAAATCACCCCGCGGTCGGCGCCGCAGATGCTCAGCGGCCTGCCCACCGTCAGCGTGGGCAGGAACGACAGCGGGTCGGCGAAGATGTCGCCGCTCACGCTGATGGCATTCGCATCCCTGGCGCCCTGCGGTGACAGTGCGGCCTGCAGCTCGACTGCGGACTCCACCTCCACAGTCGCCACCGCGCCGGACCCCCCCGCGTCGGTGTCTGTCTGTGACAGCGCGCAGGGCAGCGTCAAGAGCAGCAAGGCGGCCAACACCGCCGCGCCAGGGCGCTGCCCGGCCCCCGTCGCCATGCCCGAGAGCGCCAGGCGGTAGAAGCCTGACCACCCGGTCGCGTGAACCCCGCCTGTATTTGCGCCCCGGCCCTGGTGCCAGTACCGGCTTTGACCCTCAGACATCACCGCCGGATCAGGGCCGCCGTCATCAGTCACCGCCCTCTGGCCATCTCCCACGTGTGCGTGGCTGGCGTGGGAGCGGCCCGCCTGACGGCCCAGCAGACCTTGGGCTGAGGATGCGACACCTGGGCGCGGAAGTTGTCTGCCCCACAGGGGACAAATGTACCGGCCAGGGGTCCGAAGGACGTGTGAACTGCTACCATCAGCGCGCCGCGTGACGGACCCTTGGCCCTCCTCGGCGGGCCTGGCGGCCCTGGGGCAGTTGACCCTTCCCAGATGTAAACAGTTGTTGATCTTCACCTGCTGTCAGGCGCCTGCTGTCGTATGAGGTGTGACGGCAGCAGTTTAGGCACGCGGCGCAGTACATGTGGGCGGCCCGGCGCGTGCTGCACAGGTGGGCACTGTTTGCGAGGTGGCCGCTGGGCTGCCTCCAAAAAACCGGATCGGCTGGCTTTGGGGCTTATTCTGTCTTGACAAGTGGGGCCACATTCAGGGGTGGTGGTGTACCACCGAGGCCCCAGGGCCTGATTGTGGCTCTCGGAGTCTCTCCATGTGCCTTCGTGTGTCGCTGTTGATTGCTTAACGGATTGCTGATTGCCTCTGGCCATTCCTGGGTGCAAAACTGGATCACGCGACTTTGGTGTGTACGCTCACTTCACGGGTCAATGCACGTACTTGGGTGGGTGGGGGGGGGGGTACCACAGAGGCTTCAAGCCAGAACGTGGCGCTCTCCGGCTCTCCCAACGTCCCTCCTTGTGTGGCTGTTGATTGTAGGGCGGAACGCTGAGTGGGTCCGGTCATTGGGCTGAACGCCAAGACGCACTGCTATAGCACTGCTATAGTGCGCACAGGCCAAGCGACGGCTGATTGTCCGTGGCGATCTTGTCGAAACACTCCAGAAAGGCCACACGAAGTTGACTCCAGCCCGTTGGAGTCCTGTCGCAGCCGACCATTCGATGATTGTCTTGAATTTTCGATCTGGTAAAAGTTCTCGGACAGGCTGTTCGGGCAACGTAAACCTCAAGTGCTCTCGGCGCTCAGTCCACTCCAGGTTGCAACGAGCAAACCTGGCCCGTGTCTTGACTCCCACACCCCTTGCCTCGGTGCCATTTGACGCAGGCAGGCAGGATCGAGGGGTGGCGAATTGCCATTGGAGATCCCTGAACGGGGTTCCCACGCTCGAGTCTACGGCAACGGTTTACAGCCGAGGCAAAGGGACAGCAGGGGTTCTGTCCCTTATATTCAGTCCGTTCATCAACGTCCTTAATGCACTTCCTAGAGCCTCATCATCTATTTATGCATTTGGTAGTGCAAAAGGTGGCCGTCTGACATGGCAGCCACCCGGGCGAAAATCCACAAAGCGCCAAGCCTTCGCCTGTCCCGCCTTTCGGCTCGATTGGATTTGCGTCGAAGGAGACGAATCTGGTGACGTACAGCTCCCCGGCGGTCACGTGGCCAGCGATTCCGCCACGGAAAATCCAACTCAAACGGGCATCCGGGCCTTGCACATGTGCGCTCATGCAGATAACCGGGCCTTGGGTGAGAAACACATGGAAGGCCACTTGGATTCTCAAAGAATCGCTTGGAAACCCATGCACCCAAACGGCGAAAATGCAATGGGTGCGATCTGTCTATATCCAAGCGCAGGAGACCTCAAACTCTTGGCTGCAAAGCCATTCTGGTTGGTCTACGCGCCACGGCCTGCGTGCCCGGGTCGCACACGTCAAGACTGTCAACAGGGTGCTTACAACTTTACGGACTATGATCCATCCCGTTCAGCCCCTCTGACACTGGGCACAGCAGCATGCGGCCTGCGGCCTCAACACAGCACGGCAACCACCCCCCAAATATCTTAGCCACGACAAAAAGGGCAGTGCAATCAAATCATATACAATTTCTATCAGGTCACGTTAACATGGCAGTTCATATCATTATCACTCTCCTTGTGCCTCATACTCTACTATTCGTATCGCATTGCAGCATGCTTCGGCAAACCTCACAGCACGCTCTTCTAATCCTCACACAACCCCTTGCAATGCTCAGGTGGACATCACTTCACTCCTTCGCCACCTTTCCAGCACACCCGCAGCACCACAATCGAACCTGTGCTGCGACCTGAAAGATTGGAAGGAATATTTGTTCACACCTACGGCTCCGCCTGCCCTTTTCCCGCAACACAATGTACTGCTCAGAAACAACGCTCTGACATCACAGCCACCCCACAAATCTACACAGTGATACTTCTTGATTGAATTAAGGGTTGATACACTCACCCAGCGCATCAACAACAAAAGTCTAGGCACTTTCATAATCAAATTCATGACCAAGTTCTTGATGTTTCCGTGCGCAACAGGTCGCATCCCTTTGGGCTGTCGGACCTCGTAGAACCATGTAAAATACATCCGCCTAAGGCAGAAGAATTGAAAGCGATGACATCATACCTCGCCCTAGGCTGCCCTGGATCACTTGTGCATTGATCGGCATGAAAATCCATGTCAGCATTGGCGTTGTGGTGCACGGCAATCACTGAGAAGTCAAACCTATTTCAGCAATCATCTTGAGAATTCCTCAGTCACTCAAGGCCGGACGTCAGAGCTTTGATTTGTCAGTGTCTTCAGCATAGGATTGCAGCAATTTCCACAGATTTCTATTTGCAGAGTGATATTAATCGCATATGTTGAATATCATCTTGTTTGAAACTTAGCAGTATAGTCATCAAATTGCGTGCATTGCCTTGCAGATGCCGTAGATCGTTATAGCACGCATTACCACCTCTCTTGGATCAGCTCCCGTTGACCACCTTGATGGAAAGCTTGGCCGATATTGGCACAGTCTTCGCGTCTGGGAAGGCGTTTGAGACGCACAATCTTAGCCCTGCAGCGTCTCACAGGATGCCCACGTTCGCTGCCCTGTCTGTGGCTATGAGTAATCCGGTAGCGGTACATCTGTTGGCCCCCCCAAAGCCTGTCACCCGTCCCGTGAGACCGTTGCTGTGTTGCACCACCACCAGCACTGGCGCCATCTCGCCGCTTGCGCTTTCCGCAAGCTGCAATCCTGCGCAGCCTTCGAGGCCTCCACCCAGCCAGTGGATCCATCGGCGAAGCTTTGCTACGAGCCGTGACCATCGCCGGTCCCACCGATTGCCATCGACGCTCGCAAGCCTTCGATCCCGATTGCTGGTGCGAGCCAATTGACACGCAATGTAGCGACCGATCGGTGCACATCCATCCCTCCAGCAGTGCTGCGTTGTCGAAATCAGTTTCCGAGTGAGGACCCAGCTTCGTGAGCCAAGCATGCATGGCCAAAGGGGTGGCGCCCGGAGCCCAGTGGGTCGCGTCACTTATTGGGATGTGGGACCTCTGTGGCATCGGTATCGTGTCCCGTATCTTGGTAGAATTGGGCGCACATCGAGATACCCATACGACTTGCAGCATTTCCATCTCCATATTCTCCTTTTATGCTGGAGTTCGTCCTTTTGTAGGATACTAAGCCCTTTTTTCACTTTTGTGGATTTTCGCCAACTTCCTAACCACCTTTTGAGGCTCACGGGTCGCCAGCTTACCATAAATTTCATATAATATATTGGCGACCCGAACAGTAGTTAACAATACTCAATCAGTTCTAGTCACGACAGCACCATTTGCGCAGCACCCAATGCGCCAAGCTGTACAAAAATGCGTTTGGACAATCGCCTGAAGGGTGGGCAAGTATTTGTAGCAAGCGTTTGTGCGCACTCCAGATTCCCCAATCTGGCAAGCAGTCCTCACCGCCCTTCGCGCGCGGATCGCACGCGCCGCTGCGCAGGCCCGCACGATGGCCCTCCCCGCCTGGTTGCTCGTCACGGTCTGCACGCTCGTGCAGATGGTCATCGGCAGTCTGTGGTGCGTGCACGCCGCCTAGCCCCCGGCGCCAAACTCCGCTCCGCTGCGAGTGACTGAATTCCATGCATCGCAGTTCGTCGGCATCACGGCGCAATTCCGAACCCTCGCGCCCTGCAAGCATGACGGCCGGAGCAGCAGCAAGGGCATTCTTTCGCTCCCATTTGGCACGCGTTCGTTCCCGGTTAGGATGATCATGCACCGAGCCTGGTAGCGCGAGGCGCAGAACGACTACAGGCACGGATTCAGCGCCATCGATTGTCGTTTCTGATGGAGAGGACTAGATGCCATGCGGCGGGCACTCCCCGTGCTCAAGGGCAAGTTTTGAGGCTCTGTTGCGTGCGACTAGGGCGGCGCAGCGCAGAAATGCTCACCGGCTTTCGCGCGGACCGAAATTGCGCCAAGTGACAAGCGGCCCCTCCAGACAAAAATCAAAGGAAATCATTTCCGCAGTTTGCAGAAACTGGAAAGATGGGGACAATAGTTTGGAAACTTACGAGCAAGTGAAAAGTACTGAACAGTGCCCGGCTGGGGAGGTGATGCAATGCTTAACATTTGCCTTTGGCAGTATTACTCATGACACGCATTTGGGAGCACTACGGTGTCTTTGACGGGGGTGTACGATCTCCCAAAACTCAAGGCTAAACTCTCAACACCGTTTTCCAGTTTTCACGAATTCTTGCCAAGTCTACCCTCAAGCCACATGTGACCACCTCCTCATTTTCACACCCAAGCCCTGCACGCATTCGCTCCTTCTGCCTGGGATAACCTAGTCGATCAAATGCGAATGGATGTAGTGAAATGCATGTCTGGTTGGACCCACTTGTCAGATGCGCAGAACTTCGTCATTTCCACGTGCCAGGCAGCCATTTGTGCGTCCCAAAGCCCCCCCTCCCCCCTTCCCCGACTCACCGTTGCTTTCATGTGCATGGACAGTGCCTTGCCAGGTTTTGGCAAACACAACGACCCAAAACCACCCAAATGCTACAAAGGTACAGAGGTTCTCAAATGCACATCCTG